TTATAACTAGGGGAATGAAAGAAGAAAATTAGGACAGGATTTAACGTTGTGGCCATGTGTCTATATCTGGGGTGCAAAGTTCCACCACTCCCCATTTATCTCGTATGCTGCAAGCATTGGTGTACCACAGTGTGACTGTGTTGACTTGAGCACTCCTTTAGCGGCAATCCGAACAAGGTTCAACACGACTGGCAATGTCTCGACTTAGACAGACCAAATTTCCAGCACGTAGGAACGACATTTGAAATTTCGTTTCTATTATAAGCATACATCAATATCAATTGGCGACTTATGAAACAATCTTAGGTCCCGGTTACAGAACGAAGAACATTACAGTGAACCACGGAGCGAGACCACGAGGATACCAAGCGCGTAATGAGGAGACCGGCAATAACAACTTGTGGCAATCGGAATAGTATTGAATTTAAGAATACGAGAATCCGTACTGTACTGCTCAGAACTGAATTGACTCCAACTCGAACTGCGGAAAACAATGAAATACACGGGGAATTGATAGCAACAAATGCTTATGTTTATTGATGGAATTAAATCATGTTTTATAGAATGTAATAGTCCATATGATTGGTTGAACGAGCATCCTCTAATCACGTAACCGTTTGCACTGACGTATCATATTTGCTAACTCGGATGTCATGTTCGCCCGGTGTACCATTGGTCGAGCTTCCTAAACGGTGATTAGATGACATGAAACTGTACCTAGTCGTGCATGGATTGCGGTCATGGAAGTCTGGATCATCACAACTCTCTTCCGTCAAAAGTGCCTCGTCACTCTGGCTCGCCTGACGACTAGACCTTCAGACTGCAATCGTTGACTCCGCCTGTTCCTGGCGGTGTCCTTATGCTTTGATTGGTTGTTTCTGCACATTTGATTGATGCGGCTCCGTCGGTTGTGCTGGTGGGGTATGCAGCTGACTGTCTCCCTCGCTTATCTCTTGAAGCCGCTGATTCGTAGATGGTTTGAAGTAGATTTGGTCCACGTGTCGCAGTAGCACCATTCAAGTCGGTAATTTCCACCATGGCTTAACCCAGTTGCCGTGTGACTATATCAAACGCGGGTAGTCGTAAAGAATACCTCTGGCCATTTGAAGTATGAATTGATCAGAACAAGGGCGCAGTACCGGTTCAGAAATGGACCACAGAAATCCAAATGAACCCGTTGTCATGGTATATAACTTTCCGGCCATTGTGTGCAGTTTTTTGTTCTTGTTCTTAATTTATGTAAACATGACTCACAGTTCTTGGCTGTTACGTAAATGCCTGTGTCCAACTCCGGTCACCAACACATCTGTCGAGCCAATGATTTCATCTTCTTCACCCCCACACGTGATTTATGCAATTCTTCTAGTACCGTCTTCCGTAGTGGCGATGGGATTACCAATCAATCGGCGCGACACAATATACCATCCAATTGTACTGACAACTCCTCTCGATGAGCAAAGAATTGAGGATGCTTCCTCTTTACCTCTGGTAACCAACCTTCCTTGATCGCTGAGAGTATGGCCTAATGGTAGATTTGCGTAAAGATTCCCGAGACACTGGTGATGCTGGGGAGATGAAATGACACTGTTTGGCCTGAGACAATCGTACGTAGCTAGAGAGGAAATTAGCCTGCGGGGTTGTCTTTCTTGGAAGATTTTGGATTTCGTTATATGCAGCTAGAGCAATACTCCACCTCTGTAGCATAGCAGCAGTGGACTTTGCGGTGGATTTCTTGGGATTGAACAAGAACTGTAGCGCTTGATGATCAGTGATGATGGTAAACCGCAATCCGAAAAGGTACCTGTGTAATCGTCGAACAGCCCAAAATACAGCCAACGCTTCTTTTCCGGTCTGTGAGCATTAGTTTTCTGCCGCATTGAGTAGACGTGAAATGCAGATCACTGGGCATGCATCTTGTTCTAATACAGCGTCCATTCTGACGTTGGACGCATTGGTGATGAGTGTAGTCGGCTTTGAAGGTGAAAACGGGGCTAAAACAGGACGATCAGTAACACAGCGAATTAAACCACGTAAGATATCTTCACACTCCACCGACCATTCCCAAGCGTCTGAACACGGCACGGAAAAGCGGCTGCGCCCTTGTAGCAAAGTTCGGGATGAATCAAGAATAGTACTGTAGACATCCCATCACGGATCTCAAATGCGTTTGATCCTTTGGAGATTCGATGTTAGTCAATGGTTTGAAACGTGTCTTTTCGGGACGCTATCCACGGGAATCAACTGTGAATCCTAGAAACTCCAACTCACTCACTCCAAACACATTTGGATGGTTTGATAGCCACGTTCCTGGCGACGAATCGCTCTAGTAGTTGCGTAAGATGGTCATTGTGTTCTTTCTTATTAGGGCCCAAAACGAGGACGTTATCTTGATATGCAAGCACACCGTCGAGTCCTTTGATTACATTGTCTATTGCTGATTGAAAGAGGTCAGACGACACATACTTTCCGAATGGCAGAAAATTGTACTGATACATTCTCCACAGCGTGTTAATCGTTGTCAAGTATCGAGGTTTGACATCAAGTGGAATCTGTAGGTATGCGTCCACCAGATCGATCTTCGAAAAATACTGGCACCCATGCAATGACTTCATGGAATCCGCTGGTTCCATGGTGGTCGCTGCACATCTCCGCAATCTGGGATTCAACGTCAGTCGATATACTCCACAGATCCGTGGTGTCCTACCATCAATTTTCATCGCCACGACGATCGGGTTCGCCTAGACACTGGATTCAGCTTTGCTTACCACACCATCCTGCTCTATTTTCTGTAATGCTTTCGGGGCACCTTCCCGTTGACCGTCTGGGAAGACGGGTCGTTTTAGGAAAATCGGTTCACCGTCCACTTCTAACTTTACCGACGGTAATTTCATGCCACGAACGTTACCGTAACACTGTACAATCAAATGTTGAAGATGTGAGATGATTGGCATATCGTTGTTGGTATGTAGTGTGATGGATCCTTGTAGTAGCCGCATTGCCCGCAGGCCCAGAATAGACGAACTGTGGGCTCATACCAGGAATCGGATTGGGATTGACACACCGGATTCAGATTGAATGCACAACATCATTTCGTCAAGTAATTGCAACTGATGGACAGTAACCTCATGAATGCGCACAGAAGTCGGGGCTAGAACAGCACTAGGACAACTTGCAGTGAGTGCTGGTTTCGGTAGGATAGATTCGCTGCTTCCTGTGTCCATGATGAATCGATGCTCCACACCAGACTCAAACCTCAATGGAACGAACACGAACTGGCCGCTTGGTTCAGTG